ATCGCGCCGGGGAGGAGCGAAGAAGGAGTTCGAGACCCAGAGCCGGAATTGGGGCGCAGCGTTCTCCAATTTGCGAAGTCCAGTGTTAGGAAATAGGTTTCCAACAAAACTTAATTTGCAAAGGAGGAGGACTGAGAACTGAAGAAATTAAAATCAAGCACACTGGAATTTGACACAACATTGTAAAATGATTATAAATCAATAAAAAATGTTAAAAAATAAAAAGAAATTAAAATCAAGCAGCAAGCATCCCTGCCTCCCCCCCAAAAAAAACCAAGTTCATTTCCATCACAATCGACAAAACTTTGCAAAGGCATAAAGTCTTTCGGATAAAGTTAGGTGACCTCCGAGTTCCGTAAAACGTAAGGGAGGCGAGGAGTTGGTGCCTCCTGACATAGGTTCGAAGCTCAGCTGGGCCCACACGCCTCACTGTGGTTGGCCTCCAGGAAAGTAACCTCGCTGGGCCTCAGTTTCCCCGTGAAGTGGATTTGACGATGATACAACCCCTCATTGTCTGCCCCTCTCCTGGGAAGTTTGCAGGAATCAAGTGGGAGGAGGTCCATAAAGCGTTTGCCCCTGTGACTTCGCCAAGTGAGCATTTAATTAAGGTTTACCATTATCAACAAAAAGATTATTAATTGCCCGCCACACTGCACTTCAGGCAGTAGGGTGGGCACACACCCAATTCGAGGGCAAGTGTGTAAATCGGGCCATTGGACGTTTTCTAACGACGTGGTAAGTGTATCTACACTGTACATCTGCTGTTCCTGGAGGTTACCTGCAGGAGAAAGTCTCCGGAGCTGCTGTACACAATTGTGTCCAATGTTTAGCTCTAAATATCCATGGATAGATTAGATTAGTAGCTTGTAGCAGCGGGATACTCTAGAATACTTTTAACTATGTAGCAATTACAAAGGAGGTGGATCTACATGTACTGTTATGGAATGATCCTCTACAAGTCACGTGGAGAACTCCAGAATGCTCCAGAATTCTGAATATGTTATGGAACCGAACACACAGCACCGGATGTGGTGTGGTTTCTAAGAGCTCGCACCTGTGGCAATCCCCAAACGGAGAAAGCTAAATCTCTGAGGTGATGGGGGAGAGATCCACGTTGGTAAAAAGGGTAGTTGGTAAAGACTTGAATTTGTTCTAGGCTGTTTTACATCCTCATGGGCCATATTCAGATAGTCCTCGTGCAATTAAAATTTGACTTAAAAAATAGGAAACAGCATCTGCTCCCAAGGAACTCCCTGACCAGTGGGAAAGACAGAAATGTAATCTGGGAGCAGGAATGCAGCGTTAGGAGTGCAATCATGAAGGATCTTCCCACCCCGAGCCTTTTTTTCCTACTCCCTAGTTTACCCTGTAAAACAGTGAATTCCAGGTATTTGGATTTCACAGACTATGGGGGGAAAATTTTTTTTTAACTGGGGGACCTAAATAGGTTGTCAGCTTTCCAAGTTTGCTTAGTGGGGGACTTTTTTAAATGCTGGCTTTAAGAAACTTAACAATTGTAGAATCCAGACGGTAAGGATATATAAGGGTTCACCATACAGTTCTTTCAACGTTTCTGTTTGAAAGTCTTCATAATAAAATGTCAGAAAACAAAACTAGGGGGAGGGCCTGGTACAGTGTGTGCCTAGCACACACAGAAGAGGTCCAGGGTTCAGTCCCCAGTACCTCCATTAAAAATCAATCAATCAACCTGATTACCTCCCCCCACCAAAATAAGAAAATGAAAATTTTAAAAAGAGGGGGAAAAAAGAGAGAAAAATTATAATCACTGTCATTTAATTAAAAGGTGTCCTATGCAAAGCAGGAAGGACACATTCTCAGAACTTTTAAATGGACAAATTCTCTTGGGAAAAACTCCCTTAATCGTCCTGGTTTTCAAGTCTCTGCAGACAGGTGCAGACTTCACAAAGGGCTGGGGCTGGGAATCACCGGCATCTCTCCCTAAATAAGGCCAGGAGGACCTCTGGCACTGGCCTTCAGATGACCCAAGGCCGGCTCATTTCTAACTGGCCTTTACCTTCCCAGGATGGGCAAGGTGTGGAGCTGAGAAACATCCCCTGCTTGACAAAAACCTCCCTCCAGCTCCCGCTGATGGGCTAGTCTGATGCATAAGAGAGTGAGGGAGGGAAAAGTCCCTAAAAATAAAATTTTTAGAAATATATTTGGGAGAAGAATTCTAATACTCCATCTCACGCCAAGCATATATGGCTAGATACACAAGTGCAATATATTCACTTTTATGAGCACAGACATGTAAATATGCGTATACCGGCCCACAGCTCAGGTGGTTGTTTACCAAGATGGTAGACAAAGCAACTACCCCATAAATGAAGAAAAACAGGCCCAGGACAGTAAAGACACCACTATCCTAATGTTCTTTAAATTTGCATATGAAATAAACATATGGAAAAGTGTACATAAATGTAGATTTACCCTGGCTTTGGCATGTCCTCAAGTTAAGCCACTGAGTGTGTCTAATGCCTCAGTTTCTCAACTGCAAATGGCTGTGAGTCAAAACTCTATCACAGTAAAGAAGTTGTGAGATATATATTACTCAGCCAGAAAAAAAAGAATAAAATAATGGCATTTGCTGCAACATGGATGGGCCTGGAGATCGTCATTCTAAGTGAAGCCAGAACGAGAAAAAAAGATACCATATGATATCACTTAGATGTTTAATCTAAAAAGACACAAAGGAACTTACTTACAAGATAGAAAGACTCATATACAAAACAAACTTACGGTTACCAGGGTGGGAAGGGATAAATTGGGAGTTTGAACTTTGCAGATATACTAACTACTGTATATAAAATAAACAACAAAAATCTACTGTACAGCACAAGGAACTATATTAAGTATCTTGTAGTAACCTATAATGAAAACAAATGTGAAAAGGAATATATGTATGTGTATGACTGAAACATGATACTACATACCAGAAATTGACACACTATAAACTGATTATACACTATAAATAAAAATAAATAAAACCTCTATCACAGTGTTGTTCTGAGGTTGAATACTGCAGTATCAACACACATGTACAAATAAAGCCTGAAAATGTTGCTCCTCTGGGGGACAGGATTATTTGTTTTGGCTTTTTCTTTCCAGCCTCCAGATGTTCTAAGGAGATTATGGATCCATTTTATAACATGGGGTGGAAGGAGAGAAGGAAAAAAGTTTTATATTAAAAAAAAATCAAGCAGGTAGGTTTGAAAAGGTAGTCCATCCACCCTGTGGAATATTACTCAGCCAAGAAAAGGAGTGAAGACCTGACACTCCCTACAACGCGGATGAACCTTGAAAGCTTCATGATCAGTTAGAGAACCAGACACAAAAGACCATGTGCTATATGAATTTATTTATATGAAATGGCTAGGAACAGGCAAATCCAGAGACAGAAAGTGGATGAATGGTTGCCAGGGGCTGAAGGAGAGGTGAGAAGTGACTACTAATGGGGACCAGGCTTATTTTGGAGATGATTAAATTCTGGAACTAGATAATTGATGATTGCACAACTGTGTTAATGTAGTAAAAACCACTGAACTGTACACTTTTTCATGTATCTTTTATATATTTTATTTTTATATAATTCCTATTTCTTTTTGATGGAGGTATTGGAGATTGAACCCAGCACTTTGTGCATGCTAAACACTCACTCCACCTCTGAGCTATATACCCTCCTGTCCCGAACTGTATACTTTAAATGGGTGTTACAGCATGTGCAATATACCTCAATAAGTGTTATAAAAAAAGCTACCAAGTCTACCAGGAAATTAATATAGTTATATTGTGATTATTTCTGCATAACAGGGTCACATACACATATTTTTCTGGGTTTGGCTAATGTTTAACAATGACATCATTCTTAACTTTTATGTGAAAAGTTAAACTCCACTATCTCAACAATGAAGACCCCTCATGTGTCCTGCCCCTGTGTAGGGCCTGCCTGGGGACATTTATGGAGATTGCTCCTCATAGCTGGGCATCTATGCAATTATCCCCATTTTTATTCCATGTTCAAACTCAGTATTTTTTTTGAGGTATATAGTCTATTGTACAATTCCCCCGAAGTGTACAATCACCAACCACCACCAAATTTCAAACGTTTTCATCACCCCCAAAAGGAACCCTGCACCCTTTAGCTCATTCCCCTCCCCCTCCCCAGCCCTAAGCATTACTGATCTTTGTCCCTAGAGATACCTGTGTGTGGCATTTCATGAGGTCACATAATATATGATCCTTTGTGACTGCCCTCTTCCCCTTAGCATAATGTTTTCAAGGATACACCTGACACATCTGAAGGTCCAAAACACACCGAACTTTGTTGTTTATTAAATCAGATCTGCCCACATCATTACCTAACCATCAATAAAAGGCACCAGTAACCAGGGGTAAAGAATTGCGTCTGCAGAATTCGGCATGATTACCTTCCCTGGAGTTTATTTTCCAACTTGCCTCATCCTTGGCCTCTGACTGCTACTGGAAATAGCATTTCAGGTCATCAGTCCCCATACCCCCATGTACCCCCATCCCCACCCCCCTGCAGGGAGCCCCCCAGGGTCAAGCAGCTCCCTGGATGATGAGACAGGCTGCTGATGCCCACTGGTGGCAGAGCCAGTCTCCCAGTGGGGGACCACCACAGCCTGACTTTTTTTCAAATGTTAATGGGAACAGTGCCGCCCACCTTGGTGACAGTGACCTCTGGTTCCAAGCTGGAAGGTCCGGTTCAGCCCCTCTGCTGTAGGTCGCTGACCCTGGGAAAGGACAAAGGTTAGACCCCCCGCATGTCACTTTGACCTCTTGGGCCTCAGTTTTCTCATCTGCAAACTGGGGATGATGCTACCTGCCTAGCCTGTTTCCTACAGTTTTTGTGAAGAGAAAATGAATGAATAGCTGTAGAAACGGCCAGTAGCAGCAGCAGCCTACTAGTAATAGAGTAGGTTACAGAGCGATTTGCAAACAGAAGACACAACCAAATCCATCTGTAAAAGGCATTTATTCTGAGAATCTAAAATCTGGACAGAAAATATTGAACTTCTTAGAAAAAGCCTACACAGGATTTTGCGGTTTCTTCCTAATACATTAACAACCTAAGAACGAGGGGAAAGAGACACCTTTAAAACAGTATTGTTCCTGTCTGCCTGCAGTTGTGTGATTTAAAATATCCCTGTTCTGTTGAGGTATAAGCTGCAAACTTTGGTAAAGTTAAGAAAATTAACAAATTCCAAAAAATACAAAACTCCCCCCCTCAAAAATACAACCAAACCCTAAGTTATTAGATTTCTTGGTACATATACAGTAACTACAAAAAAATTTCATTTCAAAAAAGTGTTTATTAAAAAAAAAAAGTCCCTCTTGTAATTCCCAATTGGTGGGTTGAAAATTCAATTTCAAGGATCGACAAAACTCAGACGGTCCCCACTCACACCCCCAGGGCCCCCAGGAAGGTGCTGGCAGACCACAGTTTTAGAATCTGGTTGGCATTGTCGACGATTCAGTGCTAAGAAAAAGAGCCCCGCGTCTGAAAAGTAAGGAGGAACCAAAGGCACTTGAATGTGGCCCCGTGCGTTTGCTTCCGTGGCGTCCAGATGGAGGAGCAGAGAGTCTAGTGGAGGTAGCTTCGGTGTGGCCCCGACTCTCAGCCCGGGTGGCCGGGGGCCTGTGCGCTCGGTAGGGACCGGGACGCAGGAGCAGAGCGCCGGGGGATGGCTTGGAGGGGAGTTTCAACTGGGTCCCGACTGGCCTTCTCTGCTTTTCCAGTTTCCTGGCGGGGCCACACCACCCCCAGGGCCACCGCCAGATACCACCTTGCTGGGTTCTAGGCGACAAATTTCACCTTCGGGGCCAAACCCACCAACCTTGGGAAGATTGTTCTAGGCAGCAGCGGGGCAGGAACGTCTAAGACCTTGACACTGGCAACTTCAGCAGCCTTCACGCCAAGTCGTTTCTAATTCCATCCTCAGAAGAAAAAAATATGAGTTCTTTGTTTTCCTTTTTGGCTGATAAAATTGCAGGCTTTGTACTTTTTATAAAACCAAGATAAAAACATTGAGAAGTCCAACTTTCTTCCTTTGAGGCATAATACAAATTCCTGAAAATTTATAGATTAAAACAAAACGAAACAAAACAAAACCGGGAAGACGAGGCTTTTTAGGGAGTGGAGGAAAAACTACATGTTTAAGTTAAGCCCACTAAAAACAAAACAGGGGCCAAAGACCCCTCTGATACGTTTTTTTAAAAACGCCCGGCGAGAAGTGCTTGAGCATCACCGTCCGTTGCCGTAGCCCGGGAAGAGCGCGTTGAGGGCCGCCTGCAGCGGCTGGTTCACCTGCATGGCGTAGCTCCGGCCAAGGTCATAGCGGCAGGCCGGGCAGCTGAACACCTGGGCCTTGAAGGATCTGTCCAGGCAATCCTGCAGAAAGCGGGCAGGTGATAAGTGCTCCTGCCCCACACTGCCCCCGGGACGGAGTCGGGCGTGATGACTGACTGCTCACGGGGTCCAGAGGTCCCTTCTGACCCTCAGTCTTCCTTTTGACCACTTGCCGCCCACCCCCAGCCCAGCTGCCCCAGGCTGATCCTGGCCGCCAGGTGTCCACACTTGCAGGTCACAACACCCGACAGGTCTGTCCCCTGGCTCTTGTCACTCATGCTTTGGCTCAAGTTCCCTGCTCAGAGGACCCTTCCCTGGCACCCCTGGAATATCAGATGGCCCCGCTGCAGCCACTCTTCTCACTGCACCCTGTCTGCCTTCTGGAATCACCCTGTGGACTAAGGTACTTGTGTGTGATAGGCCAGGTGTGCCCTGCGATCAGGGGCTGTCTAGCTGGCTCTCCCGGCACCAAGCTTAGATGCTCTGTACAGATGTGTCCATGACAAGATGGGGGGAAAGGCAGGAGGGAGTTCTGATGCTGAGCCAGATTCTGGGTTCAAAGCCGGTTCTCAACTGAGTAATGCCAGGGGAAGAGAGCCAGGTGGAGACAGAGCTTCAAAGCTTCAAGGTGGACGGCCCAGGAGAGCCGACTCCCCAGCCAGAGCAGCAGGGAAGACGCCAGCCACGTGGCCGGAAACAACGCACACAGGTCGCGGGCACCTGCACACACAAGCACACCTGAAAGACGGCGCCAGGCGACCTGCGAGAGACAACGCCAAGTCGGCGAACACCTGCTGATGCCACGGCACGTTGCCGCCGCCACCGCCGCCGCCGGGCTGCAGCTTCTATTTCCTGTTTTTAAAAACTCCTGCATTCTTTTTCCAATATAAAGTCTATAGCTTGATTCCAGAGACGAAAGGTAGTTCTCTCTGCACAACACACCAAGATTCAGGTTCCAAATCAGGCTCTGGACAGCTGCCTGCTTCACAATGGGCAAAAGGTGGGAGGAAACGCCCAAAGAGGCCACCCACAGATGACGGGTAAGCACAGTGGGGTCCACCCACAGGCTGCAAGGTGACTGAGCCTTCCAAAGGAAGGGGATTCCGATACACGCTACAACGCAGATGAACCCTGAATATGACGCTCAGGGAGAGAAGTCAGACACAGAAGGACAAATACTGTCTGAGTCCACTCACAGGAGTTCCCTGCAGGAGTCAAATCCACAGACAGGAAGCAGACGGTGGGGCCAGGGCTGGGGGAGGGGATGGGGAGTCAGTGTTTCATGGGGACAGAGTTTCAGTTTGGGAACATGGAAGTTCTAAGTTCTGGAGATGATGGTGGGGATGGTTGCACAGCAGTGTGAATGTGCTTAATGCCACTGAGCTGCATTTTTACAAACAGAACAGTAAACCGTATGCTGTGGATCTTACCACAATAAAAATACTCTCACAGAGTAAAAACAAAATCGAGTGCTGGGACATCAGGGTGGAGGGCCAAAGCCGTTTCCCCACAGCCCGACACTGAGCCTGTCGGAGCGGGCACAGCAGCCGTGAGGACAGGCGGCACAGACGCGCTCGTGCCAGTGGCCTCTCCCTCCAGCACAGCATCAGCACCCCAGCGACAGGTACGAGTGGCTCCCTGGGCCACCTGGCCCACATCCAGAGCCCGCGGGCCTGACTTCCTGTGCGCCCCGCAGCTCTGCCTCCACCAGCCTGGAGTGCCTCAGCCGTCGCCTGGAGCCAGACACGGGCCAGAAAGGTGCCGTGATGCCCCCTTCCACTGGGGCCACAGGGTTTAGCATGGCTATGTGGCTTCCCAAGGTCTCAAGGCCAGAAAGGGCAGAAGGGAAGTTAAACCCAGACCGCTGACATGCCCTCCCCCTGCTCCGCCACATCTGGGCCCCCCTCGGACCCCACACAGCCTCAGGCACACAGGGGCATCTCTCCCGGACACACAGGCCTCAGTCAGACCACATGGCAGTAGAGTGAAGGGCCTGACCGTGGCCACCCAGGTCTTCATGTTCTCTGGTCTGACAACTGGCCTGACATCCTGGACTGAGATAGCCCCAAGGAGAGAGAACAGCTCAGAGATCCAGGGTGACTGGGAGGCAGAGACAGTCCCTTCTAAACGGCCTGCCTGCCAACCCGTAAGTTCCTACTGACCGACTCTGGCCAGAAGACCAGAAAGAAATCATGCACCCAGACACGCTTCCCAACTGGAGGGACCCCTGGGACCAAGTATGTGGGGCCAAGGACGCTCGCTGCTCAGAACCTCAGCGTCCAGGGCACCCCCACAACGGAATGATCCGGCCCCCATTGGCACCACTCAGGGCAGACCACATATGGCCCAGTCTGAGACCCTCCCAATCCCACTTTCAAAAGCATCAGATGTAATCATACTGTTCCAGCTCCATCACCCGAGGTGCCCACCCATCCGGGCTTCTGCACATGCCATTCTGCCTGCCTGGTAGGCTGCCCCAGGCCCCCCTCAGGGAGCAGGTTAATTGCCACCTCCACCAGGAAGCCCACCTCCCTACTCCTCTAGGGGATAAACGCCTCACAGCTCTCCAGCCCAGCCCACAGTCTGCTTCATTTATTGTGATCAGATCCCAGGTCAGGACAACAGCCGTTTTCTCTCACCTGGGCTCACGCATATATAAGAGGCTGGGACATGCATTCCAGAGGGAAGGGAGGGCCAGCAAGCGGCACCCAAAGAAGGCAGGCACTAACCTATTGAGGGCACAGCAGAGGGCTGGTGTGGCTGGAAGTTCAGGGCAGGGGCTGGGCATGGAGTTTGTGGTCGATTCCAGAGCACAGGGAGGGAGGGGAGTGGGGTTATGGGAGCCTGTGATAAAGGCTGGGAGGCAACTGTAGACGAGGCCGCCCAGAAACAGACCCTGGGCCCCTCGGAAGGCCAGGGGGAGAGGGACCCACAGCAGCGGCAGAGGCAGAGCCCCTTCCCAGGACCGCCCTCCCCACCCCGGGCTGCTCCCCTCACCTTGCACACGTTATGCTGACATACGGTCGTAATAGGGCGGAACACCAGCTCCTGGCAGCAAATACACAGGAACGTTTCTTCCACTTTGCTCAGGAATTTCTGGAACCAGAGGAGAGGGTGCGTGAGACCAGCGAAGGCTCAGTTCCCTGGAACGAACAGCCAGGCTGGAATCCCCAGATCCCCTGTCCAGCCCCCACCCAGGGCCCGAGTCTCATCCTCCCACCCCCACCCCAGGAGGCAGGAGCGGCTGTGACCCCATCTTAGGCCCTGGCGCCAGTGGAGCGCAGCCAGGGTCCAGTTCAGGACCGCGCTCTATCAGCGAGTCTCTCGGGCGCGGAGCTCAGCCCCGCAACACGGTGCCGCCTGCCTGCCACTCAGTCCCCGGGGTCCAACGCTGGATGAGACAGAGAAAGGCTGCCCTCATGGAGCGCGAGGCCCAGTGCGGGAGGCCAAAGAGCAAGCAAGCAAAAGACCAACGTCGCCGCAGCGCTGGGGGCGAGACAGCAGCGAGCCGGGGAGCGGCTGCCCCAGAAGGCAGGCGGCCAGAGGGCTCCACGGGGCAGGTGGCCCATTAACAGAACAAAAGGACGTGGGGACCAGAACCAGCCTCCCAAGACACCCTCATCCAAACCCTGGGACCTGTGAATGCCTCACCTTCATGGGGAAGGGGGATCTCTGCAAGTGGGATTCAGTTAAGGCCCCTGGGATGGGGGTGACCCTGGGCCACCTGGGGGACCCAGTGTCCTCACAGAGTCCTTATCAGAGTGAGGCAGGAGGTCAGAGTCAGAGAGAGACGGGAAATGAGATGCTGCGCTGCTGGCAGTGAGGATGGAGGGAGGGGCCGCGAGCCAGGGATAGGGCGCCTCTAGAAGCTGGAAAAGGCAGGACCTGATTCTCCCCAGAGACTCAGGAGGGACCAGCCCTGCTCACACCTGGATTTTAGCCCCTAAAGGCTCACTTGTTAGGGCAGCCACGGTGATTTGATGCAGGAAGACTGAGCCCGGAGGGCTGCGGGGGAAGGTGCTCGAGGCAGAGATACATATAAGGGCAGAGGCCCTGCAATGGGGTGATCAGGAGGTAAAGTCCAGAAGGACGTTAGCAGTGACGGACACCTTGTCCACAGCTCTTACAGTTTGGGTTTGACCTTGACAGTGAGCCCAGGAGAGCTGGTCCCCACCAGGCAGGGGCAGTGGCCAGAGGACACCAAGCCATTCACCTGCAGGAACCCATCAACGTCACTCACCCCACTAAGGCAGGAGGGTTGAAAAAGACACCCCTGGTTTGGCAGTTCCTCAAAGATTTGAACCCAGAATGACCCTGTGACCCAGCAATCCCAGTTCTGGGTTGATACCCAAGAGAACTGAAAGCGGGGTCACAAAGAGATAACTGCACCCCTGTGTTCAGAGCAGCACCATTCACAGCAGCCAAAGGGTGGAAGCAACCCAAGTATCCACTGACAGATGACAGATGAACAAACGTCGTCCATCCACGTGGTGGAGTATCGCTCAGCTTTAAAAAAGGAGATTCTGACACCTGCTACAACGTGCACAAACTCTGAGGACATGGCGTTCAGTGAAATAAGCCAGTCACAGAAGGGCAAATACTGTGTGATCCCACTCACAGGAGGTCCCTAGAGGAATCAGATTCGAAAAGAGAAAAGTAGATGGCGGGGGCGGGGACGGAGTTTCAGTTTGGGAAGATGGAATGCTCTGGGGACGGATGGCACAGAACAGTGCACACGTGCTTCGTGCCCTGAGCTGCGTGCTCTAAACGCAGAGGGGCAGGCCTGTCACCCCAGAAAGGAGGCGGCCCGGCGGGGCGGGGGCTCACCGGCCCGTCCTTGAGCGACTTCAGGATCTCGGTCCACAGCTTCGTGTTGCTCTTGTCCTCCTTGATGAGGCTGCTCTGCTGGCTGGTGAGGCTGTAGGGCTCCACCCTGGTCTTCTTGGGCGTCTCTCGCAGGGACCCGCTGCTGGCCCGGCTGCCTCCTGGGAAGAGTGGAGCAGGTGAGGGTGGGGGTGGGGGTCCCGGCGAGGACGGCCCCCCAGCTCGAGGAGACACCCACCGGCCGACTTGCTCTTCCGCTTGCCCTTCCTGGGGGACGTGAAGCCTTCCTCCTCCTCCTCCGCCTCCTCCTCCTCCTCCTCCGGGGCAGCCTTCTTGTTGTTCTCCTTTTCCTTCTGCCTCCGGGCAAGGGCCTCCAGGTAGCCTTCTGGGTACTGCGGGGGAGAAGACAGGACGTCACCCTCCCCGGCCCCCGCCTGGCCCCAGAGACCTAGGCTCCGGCCTCACTCAGCCTCGGCTCAGAGCCTCCAGACTCAACGCTGGACCCCTGCAGGAAAGCGGATGGTCAGCCTGCCCGGCATGAGATGACACACATCGGATGCTCCGCGTCAGAGCCAGCAAGTAAGATGCTCTTATTGTCTTTTCTATTTCTGGGAGAAGTAGGCATACTTCTCCAGCCAGAGGCCAGGCACTAAAAATTTCGGGCTCTGTGGGGACAAAAGCAGGCCCAGCCCCTGTGGGAATGAGTGGCCATGGCTGGGCCCCCAGAAAACTTCACTGACCAACAACTGGCCCCAGGCCTTGGCTCGCCAACCAGATTTTGATGGATCCTGGGCTCCTCCACGTCCCAACAGGCATGACCTGATTAGAACCCCATTTCCAAGGCACCTACAATCCCATCTAACTCTCCAGTGTTTCTCCTCAGGAAACCTTCAAGCTTTTCTACCAACACTAACTTGCAATGAAGGCTTAAGTCCTAAATAAAAACCCTTTTCCCACCAAACACTGACAGTCCCCACGACCCGTGGCTGGTTCTCTCCCCAGTTCCTCGGCTTCTGAAATTCCTTGTAGGACCAACAATGGGTTCGAAAGACAACTGGCTGTGGCCCTCCCCAGGGGGTAGGTGCGATCTGACTCTCAACAGCAATTAAGATTCCTTAAATAGTCCCACCACGACTTATCACTATAGAGCAGCTCACCAAAATGAGCAGCAAACACCGTAATTATGGTGCCAAAGAGCCGCACTCCGCGTGCACTGGGGGAACTCTGGGAGATGGAGGATTCCGTAGCTCTCGGCAGTGAGTGACTGCCCCGGGAGATCCTGCCACCTTACGTTCACTTTTAGACCTCCCTGAAGTCTGTATCTAGACCAGTTTTATTGGTTTCTGCTGTTTTTGGAGCGGGAGGGGTGAGGAGCAGAGAGGGGAGAGAGACGGGAGAGAAAGGGAGGGGGACTGGCCGAGAGAGGACAGTGGACTCCAGATTTCAGATAAGCTCCTCTAACACGGCTCTGATAAGAAAGTGGCTCTCAGCTCTAAAACCGCAGATGCAAAGATGAGCTGCCACTCCCTGGTATTCATTGACTGAAAATGTGGATGGTACAGCCAGCAAGGTGCCACCTGCCCAGAGCCTGGAAATCTTTCAAGACAGGAAAACCCCAAGCAGGTGTCGAGAAGGCAGGCCCAGGGCTGGCTCCAGCCACGATCTGCTGGCTGGGCCGGGGGAGCTGCGCGGCCGGCCAGGACGCACCTGCATGGTCAGCCCCAGCTTCTTGATCCGGTCCTTGCCCTCCTTGGTCCAGGGTCCAGGCTCGACATCGTCCCTGCGCAGGAGGAAGCGCCACACCAGGAAGCCGGACTTCCCCTTCTCGGGCCAGTACCGCACCACCTGCAGGAGCGTGGCTGACAGTGACCTGGGGACCTGGGGGGCCTGGGGGGTGGGCGGGCAGGCGAGGAGGGATGGGGAGCTGCTGACCTTGTAGATGCCGTCGTATCGGTTGCCCTCAGCTGGGGCGTACTTGCTGTGCTTGCGGCCCTTGACGTTGCGCACCACCCGGACCGGCTTCCCCGCCCTCCAGTCCTTGGCCTCGGCCCCTTTGCGGTCGTTGATGGGAGCACTGCAGTTCAGAGCCAGCGCCCTGCAGGGAGAGCCAGGCCCAGCGCTGTGGGCGGGACTGCATCCCCAAGCGACACAGGGCTGAGTCTCCGCCTCTAGATCCCATGACTGGGACCTTCTTTGGGAAGAGGGTGCTTATGGATGGAGTCAGATTCAGAGGCAGTCACGGTGGATTAGGGGGGCTCTAAGTCCAATGTCTGCTGTCCTTCTAAGAAAAGGGAAACTGAGACGGACACGGGGGCAGGGCCCGAGAAGGTGCCAGCACAGAGGCTGGAGTGTTGCATCTACAAGCCAAGGGACATCCAGGAAGGGCCCACCCCTAGAGGTTTCAGAGGGAGCATGGCCCTGCGACACCCTGATTTCAGACTCTGGGCCTCCAGACTTAGGCAAGAATAAATTCCTGTTGCTTTAAACCACCTCAGTTTGTGGTATTTTGTTACTGGAGCCACAGGACACTAACAAGATGTGGGGAAAATGCCATCAAGGAAAATGAGGAGCAGGGAGGGTATAACTCAGTGGTAGAACACGTGCTTAGCATGCATGAGGTCCTGGGTTCAACCCCAGTGCCTCCTTTAAAAATAAATAAACCTATTACACTCCCCCTATATAAAAAAAAACCCCAAACATCAAAAAAGCCCCGAGGAGGCGCACAAACACGGGCTGGGCCGGCAGGTCTGTCTCGACAAAGGGCACGGAGGCCTGGGTCAAGTGGACCAGAGGTCAGCTCAGCGTCTGATGCAACGAGGCCGTCTCACCGGGCGAGAAGGAGGAGTGGCAGCTACGCAGCTGTCCTCCTGGGCGGACAGCGCTTGTTAAAAACCAGATTTCTTAAGAGTCTCATGTCCAGATTTTACAACATGATGTTAGCTTCCAAGCAGTTCCTCACACCATTAGATCTCCAAAAATGGGATTTTTTTAATAGCCACTGAAATTTAAATATTCCACTAGACAAAAGTACAAAAACAAACCCTTCCATCATTTTTAAAACAGATACTTAGTTATTGATATTTGGCTGTTTTGGATAATGGCACAGTGACTATCCCCACACATAACATCTCCCCGAGTCTCATAAACACACTTGCAAAGGAGAGTTACAGGGTCGTGAGTAAGAACACTCCCAAGGCTCTTCATACACACAGGCAAAGAGCTTTCTAGAAAGATGGTATTAACTTGTGTTTCTACCAATAGTGGAATGCTAGTCTACGCCTTGGCATTTCTCAACATTTTAGCATCTGGGGCCAACATCGCGTGGTAAATAAACAGTATCTCATCGTTGCTTCCATGTGTATTTCTTTGATCACTAAAATGGAACAAAGTTTCATGGTCTTTGGAGCTTTGCTTTTCTTTGCTGTATGATATGCACATACTTTGCTGTTGTCCTATTAGTTTTTCTTACTGATTTGCACCAGCTCTTTACATATAAGGACATAACCATCAGGTGTCATGTTAGTGGCAGACTTTTCCCCAAGATAGTTATTTGCCCTTTTTTTCCCACTTTACTTAGGGGTTTTAATGCTGTAATTTATAATATTTAGCTCATCAGATCTGTCTTTTCCTTTGGGCTTTATACTTTTTCTGCTTTATCCCATCCTGTAATCGGTGCTCAGCAAATGCCTGCCCACCTCCTGGTTTTGCAAATAAAGTTTTATTGCCAACAGTGCTGTGCACACGCTCTCACATGTGCTCTGCAGGTGCTTTGTGCTAGGACGGCAGAGCGGCAACAGAGACCATGCCGCCTGCAAAGCCAAAAATATTTATTATCTGGCCTTCTAGGGGGAAGTTTGCTTTAACGCATCTGACTCACGAGTGTTTAGTGGACAGAGCAGGAAAGAGCTGATGTCCATCACCCCTACGTCCCACCACACTCTTCACTGGGCTCTAACTTCCTGCAGATGACACCCCCGCATGGGACCGATGCCCTCCCCTGAGTAGGTGCTGGAGGCTGAGGCAGGCGTGTGGCGCTGGGGAAGTCAGAACACCTGGTTCTGCAAACCTGTTGGTGTTGGTGAGTTTTTGATCACAAGACTGTTCTGCAGTCCTCTTGTTGCCGGAAAGATCTCGCCCACCGCTGCCTGTGTACGTGAACGAGTTCCCGTGGTCCTGAAACAGACACAAAGGGCAGGCTGAACCCTCCACAAGGCAGAGGACACACGCCAGCGAAAACACACACACACACACACCCCCCATCAGGACATCAACTGTCAAAGAAACAGAAAATAACAAGCAATGGGGAGAATATGGAGAACCTGGAAGCCTGTGCACGGCCAGTGGGAATGTGAAATGGTGCAGCCGCGGTGAAAAACGGCGCGGAGGTTCCTCAAAAAGTTAAAAACAGAATCACATCATAATCTAACAATCCCACTCCTGGGTTTATACCAAAAAAGAACTGAAAACAGGGGTTCAAAGAGGTTTTGTTTGTTTGTTTGTTTTTTATAACCATGTTCACAGCAGCATTATGCACGGTAGCTAGAATGCCAAAACAACGGAAGTATCCGCTAAGGGATGAATGGAAAAACAAAATGTGGTCCCGTCCATACACTGGCTATGATTCAGCCTACAAAGGGAAGGAGTTCTGACACTCCCTGCAACATGAGAACATGACACTGAGCGAAATAAATCAGACAGACAGAAAAAGACAAATATATGATTTCACTTATACATCAAATCCAGAGACACAAAGTAGGATGGGGGGTGGGAGATGAGGCGTCAGTATTTAACGGGGACACGGTTTCAGTTTAAAAGATGGAAGAGCTCTGAGAATGGACGGTGGGGATGGTTGCACAACCATATGAACGTCCCTGATGCCACTGAGCTGTGCACTTGGAATGGTTAAGATGGTGAGCGTTATGTTAAGTGTTGTCTGCCACAATTAAGCAAAAACAAAACCACCTCCCCACACTCACCACGTCATCCTCATAGCCCCCAGCCAGGACCAGAGAGTATGCCCCGTCGTTGCTCCGGCCGTGGATGCCTGCCACGTGAGGTCGATGGACCCCCGACTCACTGACCTGCGAAAGCCACCGAGAAACACGTGGCACCTCCCGGACCAGCCGCAACGGAAGAGCCCGAGCCCTCCTTACTCCTGCCTTCGGCGCCAGTGCTGACTTCCCACCGGATGCATCCGGCCTGTCACGAGAACCTGTACCCCGACAGCCCAAGTCCGAGCCGCACCATGGCAGGGCCTGGCTTGAGTTCCACCCCTGCCTCCTGCCCTCAGGGTGGCCCTTCCAGCGGAGGGGCTTCTGGAAAGGCAGCTCCCATCAGCCGAGCCCCAGGGTCCAGATGTCTCAGGTACCTGGACTCTGAACCTCCACATGGTGCCCACGGGGATGCCTGGGATGGGTCCGTAGTGGTTGGATGGCACGATGGTGCACTCCTTAGTGCGGCCCACGCACGCCATGCCCTGCCGTTCCAAAACAGAGGGGAGGGCCGCGTGAGCGCCTGCAGGAGGGCAGGGAGGGCGGGGAGGGCGGCCGGGGCCCAGGACCCGGGACCCTTCACCTTGCCCCAGTCCCGCTGCGAGGACGATGTGGCCGACGCCATCTTTGCCTTCTTCTTACTCTCCTTCAGCTTCTCCCCTGCCTGCACCACCTCACTGGAGTCGATCCGGCACTCGGGGCAGTACCTGTGACAACAGGGACATCACCTCTGGCCTTGGCCATGCACTCCTGCCGGCCCCATGCTGCAGACACAGCCAGCTCCTTCCAGCTCCCTGGGGTCCTGCACATCCCAGCTGGGGTTGACATCAGATAAGAAACCCAGTTCCTTGGTCACGTGTGCCACATCTGATGTGCTCAGAAGCCGGGTCTGGCGAGCGGTGGCCAAGGTGGACAGCAGACCCTGACCCCTCTCCGGGGAACTGCAGAGCTTCCCAATGGGGAGTGGAGGCCCAGCCCAGATGGGACAGACACATGGGACGGTCGATGGCACCTCCTCGCTGCCAGTGACTCGGTTTCCCCATGTCCACAAGGCCAGGGGCAGTGCAAACAGCAGCCACCTCCGTTAGCAGGTGAGGGTCCTTAGACCAGAGCTGAGCGCATCACAATCCTTCCTGCCCCCTGGTGGCAGTCACCAGGATGAGCACAGATGGCACGGTGGCCCAGAGGCCAGCTCCTGCCCATGGAGCCTCCTTCCCTGGGGTCACCCTGGGGCCCAGGCCACGGGAGCCACTTGGGACAGTTCCCTCCCCACTCCCCATGGTCACAGGGCCACCAGGTGGCAGACCCGTGAGCCCCGTCCCCAGGCCCCACTCACCACTCCTCCTCGCTGGGGACGCTGGACAAGGGCGGGCACAGGCAGTACGTGTGGAAGGCCATGTCGCACTCGTCGCACAGGAGCTGCTTGTCAGGGTCCTGCTTGCCCCCGCACAGGTGGCAGGCGCACATGCGGCACGGCTTCTTCTCGTCGTCCTTGCAATGCTTGCAGGAGGGCCCGCTCTTCCCTGTGCGGGTGGGGAGGCCGGGGTCAGCTCAGGCAGGGCCCCCCGCGCCGCCCGACACCGAGGGGCAGGAACTCACTTCTCATCGGGTTTTCCACCACGGGGCTCCCCTCGCCTGGGCGCTCAATCTTGAAAATTTCGTCCACAAAGGCGATCCGACAGTCATCGATAGAGTGATCCCTGTGGGGGATGAGCCATTAAGACCTCCAAGCAGGCCACCCGCCGAGGCGCCGAGAAGGCGCTGCCACCTGCCTCAACACACACTCGGAGCACAGAACACTTCCGCTCCAATCACGCCCGAGGGGAGGCCTGCAGGGCCTGTGCGCTCGCTCGGCTACTCCCCGGGCAAGTTCAAGTCCTACTAAACCAGGAACTAAAACCAGGGTTTCATCACCAGATGCATTTCAGAGAATAATTTCTAACCTGCTAGCAGGCAAAAACCATAAAGGTAAAGTCTGATCAAAGTAGAAAAACTCCTTCAAGTTAAAATGACCCCAGGGACCAACCCACCACCTCCATCAGATCATCCTACTGTCTCTTCAGATCAACTTGCCACCTACAGCAGCAACACCCTAGAGAAATCACGTTCGAGTCGTGTATAATTTAACATTTTCTAAGAACCACGTTCAAAAAGTAAAAGCAGATGTAATCAATTCGAATGTTTTATGTAACCCAACGTATACAAAATACCATTTCGACATGCAATGTACACTAAGGAATTATTAACAAGCTATTTTACATTCTTTTTCGGCACTAAGTCTTTGAAATCCAGTGTGTATTTGACACTCACGGCACATCTGAACATGTCCTGGCCACATTTCAAGCTCTCCGCAGCATGTGTGGCTCATGGCTACAGGACTAAACGGCACAGGTCCAGCCCCGCCCACCAGTTCATGGGAAACATGGGGACGGGGAACAGAGGAAATGACACCACGAGGATGCAGGTGGCAAAGCCCAGACTGGAGATTCTATGGGACAAGTGATCAGGCTTCTCCAACAAGCCAGCTGTTAAGGAAAGGGGGGAAGAAAGGAAAGGACAGGAAACCTAAAGATAAAAGGGGTTTGTAAGAGACCTATCAACCTGAGATCTGCAGGCACTGCTTAGATCTTAAACAAATGGTTAAAAAAAAGAGAGATAATTGGAACACTGAACAATGACTAGATACAAATTAAGGCATTACAGTTAATCTTTATACTGTAATAAGGGCAAACTATGTTTCTTTTAAAAGAGTCATTTTAAAAATAAGAAATACAGTCTAAAATATTAACAGATACAACAATTCCACGCTTGGGAGTTACTTCAACAGATGGGGTAGGGAGGTGGGAGAGATGGTCGCAGTCTCAGTTAAAGGAAAATTAAAAGAATTCTTTGCTAGCAGACACACCTTTAAAGAATAAGGAAGGGAGTTCTTCAAAGAGATAGGAAATTATAAAGGAAGGAATCTTGGGAGCAAAAGGAAGAAAAACAAAGCGAGCAGAAATATGGGTACATACAATAGATTATGCTCCTTAAGCGTTTTCTAAATCATATACAGTGACTGAAATAAAAATCACGACATCATCTGATACTGAAGACAGTAAGAGAGTGTAAAGGGATGTAAATGGCAGGGAGAGGCCCGCACATCAGTCTAAGTGGTAAAAGAGACAGCGGTCTGTAGTAGGTCTCCATGATAAAATCCAGAGAAACCGCTAAGAAAACTAGACAGCAGCACACCCCAAAAGACTGAATAAATCAAGACAGAATCCTAAAAAACGTCTACACAACCCACAAGGAGGACAGAAAGAGGAAAAGGAAGAAGGAAGAGAGGAAACGAACAGAAAGCAGATCACAAGGAGGCAGGCTCACGTCCTAACACACCAGTCACCACCTTCAATGGGAGGGCTCTGAATACGCTTGTCCCTGGAACAACATGAAGTTGAGCTGCATGAGTCCACCTATAGGCTGATTTTTTTCATTAGGAAATACTCAAGGACCACACAATCCCCAGTTGGCTGCATCCTCGGACGGGGACACACAGATACAGGGACCCTCAGACATGGAGGGCTGACTCTTAAGTTACACTCAGATTCTTGACTGTGTAGGGCGTTGGTGCCTCTAATCCCCAAGTTGTTCAAGTAGCAATAATGTATGCCAGTTAAAAGGCAGACTGGCAGAGTGGATTTTTTAAAAATGATTCATTGATATCCTGTTTACAAGAATTCCAAATTCAACCACAGAGATTCAAAGTAAACGGATAAAAAAAGATATACACTGTGTAAACATTTACTTTTTTCAAAAAAAAAAAAGGCAATGGGGAGGGTACAGCTCGGGTACAGCTCTGTAGTAGGGTACATGCCTAGCATGCACCAGGTCCTGGGTTCAATTCCCAGGCCCTCCATCAAAATAAATAAATAAATAAATAAACCTAATTACCTCCCCTCAAAAAACAAATGATTCCCAGGAAATAAAAATAGAATCTAGGTGATAAAACAGGTCTTAAAAAAATTTTAAAAAGCAGGTAAAAGCAGGTATGTCAATACACACACATGCGTCTCAGACAAAGTAGACTTCACAACAAAGAAATTTACTGGAGAAAAAAAAAAAGAAAGAAATTTACTGGAGACGAAGAGGGACATTATGTTAGGACCAGGAGACAACCATCCTAAGTGTGTAAGCACCAAACAACAGACCCTCACAATTAGGAGGCTGAAAGGAGAAACAGACAAACCCACAGTTACAGCTGGGTACTGCAACACCCCCTCAGCAACTGACAGAAGTACTAGACAGAACATCAGCACCAGTTAGAAGATGTGAACAACACAACCAGCCAACTCGGTCTAAATGATATAAACAGAACAATCCACTCAACAATAGAATACTTTTCTTTTTTTCCAAGCAACTGTGAAATATTCACCAAGACAGACCCCATTCAGGGCCAATAAAACAAACCTTGACAAGGACTGTAATCATACAGAGTATGTTCTTTGACCACAAGGAAGTCAAACTGGAAATCAACAGCAGAAAGACAATGCAAACCTCAGGAAACACTTGGGAGTTAAACGCCTTTCTCAGGAAGCCAAGAGCCAAAGACAAACCCTCAAAAAAATTTTTAAAAATTGAGAGAACTGAATAAAGAGAAAAATATAACACAGCAAAATATGTGGAAAGCAGTGAAGGTAGTGCTGAGAGGGAAATTTACAGCACTAAATGCTCCTGTTAAAAAAGAAGAAAGGTCTCAGATCAAGAGTCTAAGTTGCTACCTCAAAAAAACTAGGAAAAGAGCAAAATCAACCCAAGGAAATGAAAAGGGAGGAAACTGTAAAGATGAGAGCAGAAGCCAATGACACAGAAAACAAGAAAGCAATATAGAAAAGCAAGGGAAAAAAAGCAGATTATTTTTCAACAATAACATCACAGCACCTTGGCCCGAGGCCCCGGATCTCACCCCTCAATGCCCACATCACCCTCCTCCTGTCTCCCTGCTGCCACACTGCCCCCTGCAGTCAATTCCCTGCTCGGCTGCCAGGGTGATGATTCCAAATCATAGGTGAAGGGCTCCCATGCCCACAGGCTCTGGTGGCTGCCAGCCACGGAGAATACGCACCCCTTCCGCCCTGAACGCCCAGCCAGGGGGAGGCTTCCAGTCTTGAGCCTCCTCCCCCACTGGCCTCCTCCCTAGGCCACAAATGCGCCAAGAATGGTCCTGCCCCAGGGCCTCTGCTCTTGCCAGATACCCGTTTCCATACACAATACACACATGAGTATCACTCAGCCACAAAAAAAGGTTCGTCCTGCAACATGGATGGACCTTGAGGACATGACGCTGAGTGAAAGAAGCCAGACACAAAAGGACAAATCTCCCGTGACCCCACTCAGGAGGTCCCTAGGGTTTTCAAATCCATAGACACAGGAAGTAGACGATGGGGGAGGGGCTGGGGAGTGAGTGTTTCATGGGGAAAGAGTTGCAGTTTGGGAAGATGAGAAAGTTCTGGAGATGATGGTGGGGAGGGTGGCACAACAATGTGAATGTGCTTAATGCCACTGAGCTGTGCACTTAGAAAAGATTAAGATGGTAAGTTTTCTACCTACAAGCACATACGCAGACACAAGGTAGAACAGGGCTTGGCAAACATCTTCTCCAAGGGGCCAGACAGTAAATATTTCCAGTTTCCGGGCCACACGGTCCTTCTCCCAGCCCCCCAGCTCGCCTCTGGTGCCCTCCTAACACGACGCCACCCCTGAGAATCAGTAAAGAGATGGGCGTGGCTCTGCGCCAATAAAACTTTAACCATCAAACAGGCGGGGCCGCCGCCGCCCGCCTTCACCGATGCGGAGCGCACCGCCACGTGGGGCGCGTGCAGGCCGGGGAGCAGCGACTTCCCCGGGAAGGAGGACCGGGGGGCCGGAGGAGAAGGGAGAATATTAACTGTGTGGCCTCTGGTACTTCCTAGATTTTGCCGCGTCTGGACTTCTCACCTGCTGGCCAAATTCGAAACAAAGAAAAGAGAACGAGGCGGCCTGGGATCTCCGCCCGGGGACGGGGGAGCGCCGAGCGGCGCCCAGCAGGGCGTGGGGAGCGCGCGAGGCCGGCTCACCCCATCCTGACGTTGGCGTGCAGCTCCCGCACCGTCCGCGTCTCGCGCTTGCGCAGGATCTCCGCGTCGTACCAGAAGCCGCGGTCCTTGGGGTTGTCGGGGTTGTAGTTGAGCATCACCACCTGGCCCACCTCCAGCTCCTGCCACTTGAGGATGTGTCGGGCGCGAGCCCGGACGTCCCGCGAGCTCATCTGGACCACGCCGTCCTCCGGGTAGCTGGAGGGAAAGCCCTGCGCTCAGATCCGGGTGCTGGCTGGCCTCCTGCCCTCAGCCAGGGATAAAAGCTGGGCAGGGAGGGCCCCATCACAGCAGCCCTCCCCAGTGATCTCATGTGCTGGTGTCGAAAACACAGGTATAGAGACATGTTCCAATTACAGAAGGTGCTATGGGTTGAAGTGTATCCTCTAAAAAAGATATGGCGGAGTCCTAAGCCCTGGTACCTGGAGGTGGGAGCTTATTTGGAAACAGGGTTCTTCCAGATGCAGTGAGTTACCATGAGGTCAAACTAGAGTGGGGAGGCCCTAAATCCAGTGACTGGTGTCCTTATAAGAGGAGGGGATGAGATGCAGATGGAGGAGAATGACAGGGCGGAGGCAGAGGCTGGAGTGCTGTGGCCACAAGCCAAGGACTGCCGGCCCCAGTCCAGCCCCAGCGCAAGCTGGAGGAGACAGGGGGACTCTCCCCTCCAGGTTTCAGAAAGGTCACAGCCCTGCCACCACCTTCGTTTTGGACATCTGGCCTCCAGAACCGTGAGAATAAACTGCTCGAGGAACCCAGTCTATGGGGTTTTGTTACAGCAGCCCTAGGTGACTGAGACAGAACCTTGGGGAGGGAAAAACTTCACTCTTTCCACACACACGTGTTACAAGTGACTTGGGTAGAGGGATATACAGCATCCCATTCATGTAAATACACCCACCGGCGGCTAGGGTACAGTAGAAACTCAACATTCTGGATAAGCAGCCTCAAAAAAAGCATAAAATAACTGGGCTAAAGGAAACACTCTATCAGGAACAAAGCTAAGGCTCCACCGTGAGGGGCCAACCCCAAGTCTAACGTGACCAGCTGTATCCCCCAGGGCTCATTATTTTTGCTAATAAACCACCAAGAACAAGGGTTGCCAAACTTTCCCTGTAAAGGATCGGATAGTCGATATTTTTCTTATTGTCAGCTTTGTGAGCTGGAAGGTCTGTTTTGAGTCCTTAAACTCTGCTACTACCACAGACAGCAGTCAGACAGATGTAGGAGAATGGGTGTTGATGTGTTGTGTGTAAATAAAGCTTTATTTACAAAAACAGGCTGGGGCTAGATATGGCCAGAGGGCCAGAGTCTGCAACCCTTGACCCAGGAGAATGGGAATCTGGCACCTACTGTGATTCACTCATCCGACGACTCCAGTGACTTTTACAGAGCTAAGTTCAGGATGTGCCAGAAGCTGGTGGAGGCAGTAGGGACCCAGCAGAGAACCAGATGAAGCCCCAGTGCTCCAGGGAACTGAGCTCCCTGTGGGCAGGTGTGCTAGCCCTGTTATGGACTGAACTGTATCCCCCTAAATTCAAAGACTGAAGCCTCAACACCCAATGTGACTACTTGGAGATGGGGCCTTTAGGGGGTAATTAAGATTAAATGAGGTCATAAAGGCAGGCCCTACTCTGATGGGGTCGGTGTCCTTATCAGAGGAGGAAGAGACACCAGAGCGCTCTCTCTCCCTCTCTCTGTGCACAGAGGAAAGGCTACGTAAGGACAGGGTGAGAAGACGGCCGTTGACAAGCCAGGAAGAGAGACCTCACCAGAAGCTAACCCTGCTGGCACCTTGATCTTGGACTTCTAGCCTCCAGAATTGTGAGAAAATAAATGTCTAATGCTGAAGCCACCCAGCCCGTGGTATGTTGTTGTGGGTCCTGCTGAGACACCCTCCGTGTTCAGACAGGAACTCCTGGCAGTCAGTGTATCCAGGGAGGGAGAGAGGGCACACGAGATGCTTTCACACGGTGCTGTGATTAAGATGGGACAAGAAGTGGGGGGCCTGCAATCCCGACTGGATGACCAGGGCAGAGTTCTCCCAGGAGGCCCCCAGGGGACTGGCCTCCATGTGGGTTGGGACCAGGAGGGTGGGACCTCGAATCCTGGTCATCACCCCCAAGGCAGTTCCAAACTCCAGTCCCTACGTCTACAGAGACCAGTCCCTAGGCCCGCCCACCCCAGTGAGACTCACTCGTCATATTTCACGTGATAGACAACGTCGTCCTTGGGCAGCAAGCTGGAGGTGGAGCTGCAGGGTTCGTCCTCGGACGGCACCTTCCTCGTCACCCTGACCACCTGGGCCTCGAACCACGCGCCTGAGTTTGTGTCCCGCGCATCCACATACTCGCCGACCTGCAGGGAAAGCAAGCTCTCACTTGGCCCAGGGAAGGAGCAGGACCGCCGAGAGACCGCCTTGGCTCCTGGGCCCGGATGCTTCGGGGCTGGGATGCTTCTGCCGCGGCACTGAGGACACCGGGGCCATCCAGGGCACTGTGGGGTTTGAGCAGCATCCCTGGTCCCCATCCCCTCGATGTCAGGCGCCCCCCCGCCAAGTCATGAGAACTAGATGTCCCCAGACACCACCCAGTGTTCCCTGGGGGCAGAACCTCCCCTGTCACGTGGCCCAGGGAGGCCAGAACTGCCCATTTTTCCAGAGAGGGGAATCCAGATCTTTCTGGGACATTTCATGATCTTAGAGGGAGGCTGGCAGCAGATCAGAACTCTGATCACCCCTGTGAAGATGCCTGCAGGCCCAGACACAGGATCCTGCTTCAGAGGGGTCAGGACAGAATCGCTGAGTGCTTATGCTACAGCCAAGGAACCCCTCGGAGATAGTCACAGCGGGGCGGGGGGTGCCCAGCCACAGGGCCGGCGGGCGCGGACAGTGGCCGGCAGAGCCCCACCTTGTACAGGCCCAGCTCCGTCTCGTCCCACACGTCTTCATCCGCCTTCCCTTCTGCCTCGTTGGCGGCCTCGCCGCTGTTGGAGGACTTGTCGGACTCGCCCTGGCCCAGGCAGCAGCCGGAGTCCGTGTCCGAGAGCTCCGAGTCCCGCTCCTTGCTGCTGCTGCTGCTGCTGCTGCAGCTGCCGGGGGGCAGCACCAGGCTCTGCCGGACCAGGAGCTGGATGGTGTCATTGATGCGAACGTCATAGTCAAACAGAGTGTGGCCGTCCTCCATCTGTAGGGACACGGGACAAGGTCACCAGACACAGGGCACACACCTGCCAAGTGCAGGGCACAGGCCGGGGGCAAAGGAGCGAATCTGCCCTCGTGGAGGCTGGCCTGGAACAGACCCGCCCACTCCTGGGGGTGCCCAGTCACCCCTTCCTCAGGGTCCCGAGGCCTTCTCAGTGAGGACTCCTGCTGTCACACACCACATCCGGGGAAATTTTAATACTTCATGTATTTTGACACTTTTGTCACAGTAAACGTGCCTCAGTGGTTCTTTTTTTTTTTTTTTGTCAAGACAGGGTAAGGGTGCTAGGGATGGCCCCCACAGAGAATGACCCAGCCCGATGTCCAAAGTGCCAGGAGAAGCCCTGGCCCGCATGAACGGAAGGACGCGTGCACCCTCACCTGCCTCGGGTTCCTTGTAAGGCTCCAGCTCACACCTCATCCTTTGGAGGCTCCTCCGATCCAGAACTCCACCCCTCTCCATTAACTTCTTTATCCTAATTCCACCCAGGCAAGGACCCGGGAGCTGGCAGGGCTCTACAATCTGTGCCCAGGCTGACTCATCTGACTTGTGAAGGAGTCTGTCTTCTAAGCCACATTCCCTTTGGCACAAAAGGCACTGGGAAGTTACCTTTTATTAGAAACTGCCCCAGGGCACTCTGCCAACATCCAACTAGGACCCTCCTGGAATTCTGCACCATCCAAATGCCCCTAAGGCAGGCTCTGCCCTGCACTGGGATGTCTGGGGATCACTCGTCACTGGGGCGGGGGGGATCGTAAACACTGCAGGCATGGGGTGAGCAGCATCCCTGCCCCCACCCTCCACATGCTGGGAACACCCCTAGTGGTAACAACAAACCCTATCCTCAGACCTCGCCCAGTGTCCCCGGGGCAGAACGATCTGATTCAGAAGCAGCTCCTAAACAAAAGGATACACAAAAGATCAACTTTCCCTCCAGTCCCAACTTTTAACCAAAAGCTGGCGGTTCAAAGGTCTGATTACCATTAACATGCAAACAGCACCAGGGGTCTCAGTGAGGGAAGTTCCAGATGAGGTCCTTTCGGTGCAGTGGGTTTTGTTCATCTTTATTCATCACAAACCTGGGCATCTGATGGCTGGGGACCCCACTCCCCTGAAACGCACATCTGAACACATCAACACTTGCTTGCAACTGCAGGGCCCCTCCGAAATCCACCCTGGACAGCGAGCCTCCGATGTGCCCAGCACTGCCCAGGTGCCACAGGGGCCCAGGGAGTGAGGCAGCACCAGCCCTCCAACATGGGGCAGACCCAGGACAGGCATGACAGCAGGGGGATGTGACACCCGTGGTCACAGCTGCATGAGGCCCAGCAGCCCAAGGGCAGACAACCCAGGGACCACTGATGGATGAGTGGATCGGCCCCACGTGGTCCTCCTCACACTGGGATGTTACTCATCCCCAAAAAGGAGAGAAGCACTGACACTCGCTCGCACATGGGTGGACCTTGAGGACATGATGCTCAGTGAGAGAACCAGATACAAAAGGACAAATATTGTCTGATTCCACTCACAGATGGTCCCTAGAGGAGTCACATCCACAGAGACAGGAAGTGCACCTGTGATGGAGGAGGGGAGTAGGGGAGTGATAGACAAAAGGTGTGGGGTTTCCTTGGGAGGTGATGAAAATGTCCCCAAATTGACGGTGGTGACAGTTGCACATCTCCAAGAAAATACCGAAAACCAGTGAACTGCACACTTTAAATGGGTAAATTGTGTGGTATGTGCATTCTATCTCAATACTGATTTTTTTTTTAAAAAAGCCGATACAAAAAGGCTACACACTGTATGATTCTGACTATAGGATGTTCTGGAAAAGACAAAACTACGGAGACAGTAAACAGACCAGTGGCTGCCAGGAAGCGGAGAGAGGCAGGGCGGGATGAGCAGGCAGAGCACCGAGGACTTTAGGGCAGTGACACAATTCTGTGTGACGCTGTAATGGTGGAGACGCGTCGTCAGACGTCCGTCCAGTCCCACAGGACGTACACCACCAAGAGCGAGCCCAGGTGCACCCCACGGGTTCTGGGTGACGACAGCATGTCAAGGCAAGTTTCTAAGTTGCACCAAGTGCACTACCTGGTGGGGACGGGTGTGAACAGCGGGGCTGGGGCTGGGGGCAGGGGGCGTGCGGGAACTCTCTACACCTCCCTCCTCATTTTGCTGTGAACCTAATAAACTTTATCTTTTAGAGCATTTAACAAAAAAAAGAGAAAGGAAAGTGTCCCCAGCATCCCTATGACGAGGAAACCAGCAGAGAGCAGGCCGAGTGTTATTAAAAAGGATGACCAAGACCCTGGCACCTGGTGCCCAGCACCTCCACAGCCAGCAGGGTGTGGAGCAGCCTCCCTGGCCCTACTCACTCGATGCCAGGAGCACCCCCAATCCCGGGTCATGACAACCGCAGGTATCCTCGGTGTCCCCAGGGGGGCTGAACCGCCCCCAGTGAGAACCACTAAGCCGGGGACCTTCCGTGTACCTGAGGGACAGCTACACGGGCGCTCACAGTGGGCTCCCAGCTGTGTTATCTGCAAGCAGAACCTGTGGCCTGTTCCTACAAAGGCACACTGCACAGCTGCACGTGACAGCTAAACGCAGGCAAGTAGATGTGTCTCCCACACACGTCAAGGGAAGTGAGGGTGACTTCAGGTGGGAATAAACCAAGCCACTGGAGCGAGGACAGGCAGTGGGAGAGAGCCGCAGTCAGGAGGGAGCAAGCGGTCGGACTTCTGCTTTACAAAGAGCACCGGGACAGAGGGAGATGGGAGACAGGGCAGCAGAGCTAAGGGAGGAGGCACCAGAATGGCAGCTGGGGGTGTGCAGGTGCGAGAAAGAAAGGGTCAGGACAGGCCAGCACTGAAGGCAGCAGCTGCACACCCACCCCGCTCCGCCCTTCTGGTATTTTCCACCCACGATGCTGGGCCTGAACGGTCCTCTCACAGTCTGTGCTGGGTCAGGAAGCCAGGCTGACAGGCTCCCCTCCAGGTGCAAAGACACAGATGGAATGCAAGCGGGGTGCACCAGGCAGGGAAGGGGGCTTGGGCTGGGCCAGGCTGGCCCTGGGCTGCATCTCCAGGACAGAATGCACAGGTTGGTCTGGCTGCTTCCTAAGGCCACTTCAGGAACGTTTCAGAGGGGCCTCGCGGCTGGCAGGAAGAAGCTTGCACAACCGCGCGCTATCCCCAGCCCTGCTCGCCCAGAGCTGTGCTTACATGGTCAGGAAGCGGGGCGGGGGGGCGGGTAGAGGACAGGGCCCAGGTGAAAGGACGGGACATGCTGATTCTGGGCCCTTTCCTCCTAAAATTCCAACTGAGGCTTAGTGGCATTAATAAAAGCTATACAAACTGGTGGGGTGGAGATGTAACTCAGTGGTAGAGCACATGTTTAGCACGCTCAAGGTCCTGGGTTCAATCCCCAGTACCTCTAGTAAAAAAAAAAAAGCTATACAAACTGAACAACAGGCGAGCTATGCCTCAGGTTGGCAGTTCGTATGTTAAAATTAAACTTGCAGCAAAAATCCCATGTAACCAAAATTCCCGGTGAAAACTCCTCCCATTGCCTGTAGTAAAACAGACACGTGGCTGGGGCCCAGTGACTCCAGTATAAAGGAAAAACTGCCCACGGCACTCAGACCACATCTGCCTTTTGATCCGGGTGTGCTTCCTGGACGTTCGGGACTCTGGGCCCCGCGCACGCATGAAGTGAAACACAGACCACAGAACAACAAAGCCGCTCGTTGCTCCGGGAAGCCTGGAATCGGAGCTCCTCCGCCCACAGTTCCTGCCCGCCTTCTGCCCGCTCAGGACACCGTCAGGGACAGGGATGCTCTCAGAGTGCTGCCCAGAGCCAGGAGCACAGGAAATAAGCGCCGCTGGGGCCGGCAAGGGGTGGTTCTCCGGCTTGGAGGGGCCATAAATCAGATAGCAGGACCTCCACCCCCACTGGGGACGGGCAGGCGGTGTCGAGGAGGGCCCGAGAGCCGGGCTTGGAGAGAAAGGAAGTGAGACGCTGAGCTACCTCCTTTCCTGAGGGTGCAGCCCCAGCCCCCACCTTCCCGTCTAGGCCTCCAGGCCTCCACAGAAACCTGGGGTGCAGGCCAGATCGATGGACAGACAGGAGAAAAAAGGCGTGACGCAGGATCTTGGCCATGGGGGAGGGACACACGTCCTGCTGGGGGCAGGGCAGGTGGAGCGCACAGCACCTCAAGGACAAGCTCGGCCCCTCTCTTTACCCCCCAGCTGGTCAAGGACAAAGGACTGATCGGTCCTGACAAGTGAACTCTGCTCTTTGACCCCGCTGGGCCACAGCAGAGAATAAGCCCTGGAGCAGCATTTTGGGGGCCTGGGAGCCCCAGGCTGTGGTGCGGGGACGTCATGATGTACGTCACTGGCCGCTTTCAGCTTCGTGGTCCCACAGGAGCGCAGCGCTCACAAGCTGCAAGGGAACCAGCGTGCTTCCTCAGACTGTTAACTCTTCCTAGCTTCCAATTTCTGATATGACAAAAAATGACAGATGTGATCCCCATTCCCAGAGGCTTTGGGATCCCCTATCACTTTGGAGGGTAGAAAGGGGTCCTGAGACCCAACAACGTGAGCACCTGTGCCCTGGGGACGCAGTCCAACATATCCCAGGGCAGCCCACTCTGACAGTACAACCTGGACACACCACCCTGGGAGGAAGCTCGGATGTAAGTGCCACACTCCAGCCTGCAGGACAGTTCTGGCCGCTCGTCTTATAAATACAGTTTTACTGGGGCTTGAATCGGACCACGCCCACTCGTCTGCGCTCTGTTCTGTCCGGAGCTTTCGGGGGCAGACTTTCAAAGACTCTTGTATGGATTAGATGTTACCTTACGGCGCAGGACAGACTGCAAGGCTGGCAACGGTGACCCCGGGTCCTTAACAGAAAGGGTTTGCTAATCCCTGACCTAGAGGGTGTGCCTCCAGCTGGGAGCTCGGTGGAGGCGGGGGGGGGGACCTCCCCCCTCACACAGCCTGAAAGACTGGTCTCGATGAGGGGGCTGTTTGCTGCCTGACCCTTTGGGAAAACAGGGGCAAGCACTCAGGAAAGGCCAACCAAGCAGGGACATCTGGTGGGGTGCTATGACATGACCCTCAAAAGGCCATTCCAACTCGCCTTTCAGACCTTAACACAGCCTCCTGCTGTTTTCCTAAAATAAATTATCTACTAAGTAATTAGTTCTCAAGTGGGAGCACTTGGCCATGTCTTTGTGGTTGTTACAGCTAGGGGAAGGGGAGGCTCCTGGCATTAAGTGGGAGGGGCTAGGGACACTGCTCCCCATCCCACAACGCCATCCTCCCGCGCCCAGGACAGCCCCAGAGGATGATCTGGCCCGGATGTCAGCTGTGCTGGGGGAGGCCCTGCACTGAATGATATACCGTGAGTCAGATCGGGGCTCACCCCCCACTGCATCCATGACCTCACTGAATTCTCATCATGGGCACATATTGGGTCCACGATTAGCCCCATCTGATGGGAAAGCAGAGAGACCAAGACTGCCCCTGGCCAGACACCTGGCAAGATTTTGTAAAATCCAAGCTGTCTACCTGAGTGCATTAAAGGCACCACAAATGACAGCTACTGTTATTTTTATGGGCAGCAAAAAAAAAAAAAAAAAAAGACGCCAGATGCCTCCCACCCTCGCCCAGGCTGGGCCTGCCGCCCAGAGTCCCTTCCCCCATCCGGCTCTCTGCATTTCCGTCAATCGAGCGACATAACCGCCAACCTATTCAGCATCAACAAGCTGGCGGAGGAGCCCTCCCATATCCTGAAGAAAGTCTCAACTCTGTTCTGCTTTATCGGCTCAGGCGACCTCACCGCAGACCTTGGACTGCAATGCCACGTTTCTTTAAAAAGAAAAAAAAAGGATTGCCAATACTCTAGAACATTCCGTAAAAACAACAGCTCTCCTGCGCCCCGCTGGAAATGGCACTTTCTATCGCGATGAGCCCGGTCTGCTGGCAGACTTGACTTGCTTCGAGGTGCTGCTGTGGGTGCCTTTGTCCCCCGCCTCCTGGCACTGTCCGCACCTCCCCAAGGCTGGGCCACTTCCTGGTCGTGCAACCTTGGGGAAATTGCATCACGCTGAGGCCTGGCTTCCTGACCCGGAAGACAAGGGAGACAGAAACAGCTCCAGTGGCGGGGTGGGGAGTGAGCACGGGGAAGGGAAGGAGCAGCAGTTAGAGGTTGTGTGGGAACACGGAACCTTCTGAGAACTTCAAAAGCTGCACTCAAGAAGGCAGACTTACGAGCTGTCACCATCGCTGACATGCTGACTGTTAAAGGCATGAGGCCGTGTCTCCCGCACTGGGGGGGCTGCTGTTACTACCAGAAGTTTCGAAGACGTCTGTATGGATTACGTATGACCTTACCGATGGAGGGAGATAAGGGTTTGGTTACGTGTGGAGACATTTGTCAAAACCCCAAATGTCCACTCAGGACATGTATCTCACTGTACAAATTTTATCTAAAAAACAAGAACCACAAACAAATACAACACCGTAGTTAAGGACAGGCATGCTGAAGGGTTTAGGGGTGACGTGAATCAGTGCCTGCAACTTACTCTGAAATGCACCCCCCAAAATAAACGGGCTTCCGGAAGTGACAGGCAGAGCCACAGCTGCGTGCTAAAGCACAGATGTAAAACGCCTGTGCTAAAAGCCAAGGGTAGGTGTTTAGGTGCTCAGGGCTCCTTCAACTTTCCTGTATGGTTTTTAAGGTAAAAATTAAAATGCCTGGTGCCTGGCACTCAAAAATATTCCCTCCCTCGAACTTAAAAGGACTCAATCCAATCTGCCTTTGAATAATGCCATGAATGGCTTAGCAAGTGCACAAGGGAGGTTCTTGGAAACTCTGTGGAAAGAACTTCTGCTCAACACAAAGCCTGAGGGGCGAATCAAAGTCAGTTTCGATGCCACCAAAATGAGCCCCTGTCGGAGGACGGGGAGAAAACCAGCACCCTAGGGACGCTCGACTCCAGGCCCTACCTCTTCACACGCATGAGCCTTGCAGAGTTCGCGGATCGGCCTCCCCTCCCCGGGCAGGGCTCGCTAACTTATGTTGTTAAGACATTCAAGTCATCGTATCTCTAGCAGGAAGCAAGCGAAAGGTCTCCGAGGGCCCCACGAGCCCAAGAAATTAATCATCACGTTTCATTTCCAGTAGGCATCACAGGATCCTCCCAGCCCCCAAAAATCCTGGCCAGGCGGTGAGCGTTTATTTTTCAACCTAGACACCAGATGGCGGCAGTACCCAGTTCAAAACGCGACAACAACAAAGTCGGGCAGAGAGCCCGACTGAACACTTTTAATCTAGTGTAGTCTCTACACAGAGGTCCCCACGGCGCGCCCAACTCCAGGACGACTCCGGCGGACAGGACCCCCACTTTCTGGGCACATCTTCTCCCACTGAGGGAAATCCCGCTCATAACCCACCCCCACCACAAGACACCAACAGAAATGGAAACCGCCCGGGGATGCCACTGGAGAAAGCATCCCCCAAGTGGGCAGCCAATAAAGCAAGGGTGGCCGTTTTAAATTGCTACAGAGGTGGGGGCGGGGGAATCTCAAAGAAAGGAGAGAGAGGGGCAGGGCTGGCAGAAAACTCAATCCCCTGTTCAGGGGCAGCCCCACCGCCACCGCCAGAGAGCAGGCCCAGAGTGGCGGAAATTCCTGATTAGCAAGCGCCATCTCCGACCCTGAAGGAGCTGATCCAAATACCTAGAAAACCCTGTGGGGGTCGGAAGCTAAGAAGGTGCAGACAGTGAACCATCGCTGTGTGTTTCAAAGAAAGAACCAGTCCCTTCCATCTTAGTGTCTAAGTAATCATTCTAGGCTCTTCCTCGAAATTCATCAGCCCTCCATGAACCACCTCCAACTTCTTTTATCTAGAAACTTATTTTGAGGGGAGCTTCAAAAAAAAAAAGGAGGGGGGGCTGGGAGTTTCAAAGCCCCCAAATGCAGTCGATTCGGGTGCCGGCTGCCTGCCCAGTGTGTCAGTCTACCAGTCGAGCCTTTGTTCCTCGCTCAGGCATTGGAGGTTTCTGTGGAGAAGCGGACCGGACAAGGCGGGAAGAGTGTGTGTGCGGTGCCTGGATGAGGCAAGAACAAAGGTGCTGGGCGGGCGGGCGGGCAGGCAGCCTGCAGGGCGGGTTTACCTGCTTGCCCCTGTAGAAAAGCCTCTGCAGGCCTGGCTCCACGTTGAAAAGCTCCTCAATCTTCTTCCTCAGCTCTTCCACCTTGGTCAGCCTGGACAGGGAGCTCACAATATGGGCCTCTTTCCCGTCCATGGTGCGAACCTTGAGCCACATGGTGTCTGCTGGTGCTGAGAAGGGGAGAGAGCGGGACCCCTAGGTCAGTTCTGTGGTCACCACCACCACCACCAGGCCGAGCCATACTCAGGACATCCTTGCTATTGTCCAGACTGCGGGTATCAGGAAACTCCCAGAACGCCCTCCAGGCTCCCTAATCCCCATACACTGCCAAAGCAGGCCCAGGGCCTGGCCCAGTGAATTGAGGAGTTAATGCATTAATGACTAACACGGGTGGAGGATTGAGTAGGGAGGGGCAACTAGGGGAGAGCAAAAGGCATCTGGGACCACTCAGTCAGCCCACCCTGCGTTGCAGAGAAGAGGAAAACAAAACAAAACAAAATACCAACGTCCAGAGGAGGAAGGGGGACACAGCCAAACGATGAGGGGCCGAGTTTGTTCATTCATTCATTCATTCATTCCCTGAATTAATACTGTTGCAACAGAGAAATCCAAAAGTTCGGCTCAGGTTGGAACTTCAGAAGTCCCAGGGA